AAACTTATATAAACTCTCAAAAAAATTGACTTAAATAAAATAATCAATCAACTAATTTTGATTCTAAATGTCAAACCACCGAGACCAAGTTGGATATAGAAATATTTTGATTAATATAAACTATTTGCACAATACAAAAGAATTGTGAAATGTTTAGCTCGGGTTTAGCAGAAAAATGGTATAGAATCATACAATCATTTTATAGGAAGCGATGGTTCTACTGGCAATTTTATTCTTCACCTTGTTACACATCAGATTACTGAAGAAAGTCACAAAAGAAATATGAATAAAAACTATTTATCATAATCTTATGTAGATGAAATGTTATGAATAATCCAGAAATTAAAAATCGTCAGGACTGAAAGTTTGTTGCAATCTTAATTAAAGATAAAACTGAATTTATTCATGAATTTGATCCAAATTATCAAATTTTATGTAATAAAGTAATTTAATAACTATTAGCTGAATCATATAATCAAATCAAAGAAGTCTTAATAATAAAGCTTGAACATGTTATTTCTTATTCTATAATAACAGATTTATAGACAGCTTAAAGTCTAAGTAGATATATTGGTATTACATATTCTTTTATTGATAATGATTTCAATTTTTGTAAAGTAATTTTAGTAGTTAAATATATATCTTATCCTCACACTGGTGATCGTATTTGTAATGTATTATGCGAAATTATTTTTGATTGGAATTTAACTGACAAGATTTTTATAGTAACCACTGATAATGATTCTAATATGATTCGAACTGGAAGACTAATGGATGAAATTATAAAATTTCCTTATACTACATTTACAATTAGTTGTGAGAAAAGGATTGCTTCCAGCTAAAGCTTTAATTACAAGGCTAAAAGATTAATTAATTTTTTACAACACCAAAACAGACTAAAAAATTAATAGAAATCCAAAAAACTTGTCATATTATTAATGAGATAATTTATTAAAAAAATGCATTTATTTAATTAATTTAATATTAATATATTAATTGTATATAGTGTGCTATTTAAATAATTATATATAGTATTTTATTTATATTAATATAGAGTTTAATTAATAGTGGTGATAATATATTTAATTAATTATTAAATATATTTTATTTAATATTTAATGTATTTTATTTAATATTTAATGTTATTTTATTTTTTTATAATAATAAAAAAAATGTTTAATAATATATAAAAAAATTTTATTAATATATTATATTTTCATTACAGAATTTAGAAAAAATGATGAATACCTTTGAATGATTGCTGATGTAGAGACCCGATAGAATTTCAGTTATCTTGCATGAAAACGCTTAATAAAAGTCAAAGATTTTATTAATATTTTGACATCTACTATGATGATTGATCCTGATTCTTCAACGTGACGAGATGGAAAATGATTAAAACAAATAAATCTAACAGAAGATAAATGAAAATTAATAAATAATCTAATAATCATTTTGGAAGATTTTGCTAAAGTGACTGAATATTTAGATGGAAGTACATATACAACTATTAGCCTAATGTATAGTGTTTTAATAGTAATTAGCTATAAATTGATACCTGATAATTCTAATGATATGGAAGTTGTAGATTTTACTAATCTAAATATAGTCTTTGATGATATTGGTTATGAAAATGTATTTGAGGATGAGACTACTATTGAATAACCTAAAAATAGAAAAATCTGTATAAATATACCACAAAATTGTACGAATCTTGAAAATCACATTAAAGCAGCATTGTATCAATCCATTAATCATTATTGGAAAGTTTTACAAAAACAGGAAATATTAGCTGCTTTATTAGATCTATAATTCAAAGAATTAGAGTTTACATCTGAATTATTGCGTAATACAACTTATGAACAATTAAAGGTTGTTTACCAAAATATGAAAAACGTAACTGAGGAAAATCAGGAAATCAAATTCAGACCTATTTCATCAAATTCTTTGTTAGCAAGAATGTTCTAAAATGATTCTATTCATGTTGATGAAGTGGTCAATTATTTGGTTTTACTTAAGATCTATTTTAACAAATGTTCTTTACTTTGGTGGAAAAATAACTCAGCTCAATTTCCAGTACTATCAAAATTAGCAAAAAAATACTTAGCAATCCCCGCTACCTTAACTCGAGTAAGAGACTTTTTAGTAAGACTGGTAACGTAATGTCTATAAAAAAAACACAATTGGCATCAAATATATTAGAAAATTTGGTTTTTTGTAAAAAGAATTGGTATTTAACTAGGGGGTTTTCCATTAAGTAAATAGTATGTTGTATGATTTTAAATATAGGTTTAAATAATGCTAACGACAAATAATATAGTTCTTTATTTTTAGTTGAAAAGAAGATTAACACGTTGATAAATGATAAATATAATAAATTTAGGTGGTAATAAATAAATAAAATAAAGTTCTTTATCTGTTTTATCTATTATTATCCAGATAAATCTATATCTAGATAATTTGTGAATCTGAACTTATTCATGCAGATATATCCAGATTTATTTGATTTTTCATGGATAGTAATCCGTATCTATGATAGAAATCATAAATCACCTGATTGCGAATAGGTAAAACCACTATTCTAATATATATATATTTGATATAGTTTAGATTATACAAATAGATTTGAAAATTTTCAGCTGGGCCTAACCAAAATCATATGAAAGTAAGACCTATTGCCTAGATAAAATACATCATGATGGATCCAAAAGAATTACTGCACTAATACTATATTGAATAATATATTTTATTATTAGATTTAAAAAAATAACATATTAATATTATGCTATTATTGCGAAATTGCGTAATACTATTCTTTTTCAGCTCTAAAAAAAAATTCAGGAGATCTGCTAGACACAAAATTAGCTCCGCTCAAGAATTTCATGTGACATTCTGACTATTAGTCAGTAACTTTTGCCAAAAAAATTTTATTATTCGATATATATTTCACATGAAAAAAATATAAATGTATATTGTGAAATCAACCATCAGAATCACTTTATTGATACAGAAAAAAAATTCTAATCATCTCACATTGAAATAGAAACTGTAATACTATCTTCTTTTTGTCTATCTAATGAAGATACTGATGCATGGTATAGTAAGGACAAATTTGTAATTAATATGTTATGTAAAAGTAAAAGTAAAAGGATTTCTATAAATTTAGTTACAGTATTTACATCTGATAATTGCATAGGAATTTCAGCTGATTGCAAATGAAAATATTTATAGACGTTTACTTTATCTCTGATAAGAACATTCAGATGTAACATATTTCTCGCTACTTGCATTCCAACTATTCCAAATTGGTCTTTTTCTGGTTTAAGGACTTTGCGAACTCAATACATATTATCATTACTTTCTCTCTATAGCTTTATCTTTATCTATTTTTTTCTGTTATCATAATCACGAACATTCGACATACATAAGCTCAAAGAAAACATCTAAATATTTTATTATATACATAATATCTGGTCATTTTCTTAACTATCCTTCACCTTTTCTATCAGCATTAGTAATACTCTATCATTCTGAAGTACTGATAAATAAGAACAATCTAGAAGGAAGATTTTTTAGCATTGCTCAAATCAACAATAGAATAATTGTTAATTGATAAGTTCCTTCGTTTAGTGATTTTGCAAGTTCAGAATTAAAAGCTGGATTACTCCAAATATCTTCTAGAAGAATTAAACTTCTTTTATAACATTTGCAATTTTTTCTTCTGGTTCTTTTCAGGATCTATCATGAATTAGTTTTTCTGATATTGTATTCTGAATATTGCAATTGATAAAGTTGTTATAAATTTTTCACACATTTCTTTAACTATTGGCATAGGAGTAGATATCATTTGTCAAGCAAGTTTCTAATATAAAATACAATAGTTATTTTCATTCTTAAAAAACCCTTCTATAAATGTATGGCTATCTACCTTAAATGCTTTTTTTAGGTTTGATGGCAACTTTTCAACAACTTCTGATTCATCGCTAATAACTTGACTGGCCAAAGGATCTTTCCAGGTTAAGTTCCGAATGGATATAGCATTTACTTTGAAAAATAATTGTTGATAAAGGGACTTAGTGTCTTTCCTAAGCTTTTCTTTCAGATTATTTATATTATCTTCAATCTGATCTGAACCGAAAGGAACTTCCTTATCCGTTTTAATTGCCCCCATGTCATATAAGCTACAAATACCCTCAAAAGCAATGTCGAACTAATGAAAATATATTGTGTTAGATTTCAGAAAAAAAAAAAGTTCTCATCATAAAAAAAACACAAATTATCAGTACATATGCAAAGTTATCATCTTTGTGAGGCCATCACGCAGACGAAACTTTGTGTGATACTAATAAAGCAACATAATAACCCATATCTTAACACACCCCTCGACATGGCAATAACCTTTTCACATAATAGGTAGTAGGGTGAACTATAAAACTGCATAACAGATTATAGCATAAACACCCCTCTACTACATGTAAGTATTTACCGGCAAGCGAGCTAAATAGGTGGGCCAGACATAAGCAACAAATTAGTGAAGTATAAAATAATCTGTTTATTCAGGTTTACTTTAGTAAACGATCACACAATATCATCATATAATAAAAACCCTCCGGTCTGAAATATTTATAAAAATCTTTAATTAACCTGCGGTAGAATTCGAAAGATTCTTAATTGACGTGGAGAGCCTTCTATAAATGCATTACTAGCAGATGCCACAGCTCGTTCTACAGTCATTTTCAACTCTGTTTGGAAAACATTACTATAACTTCAATCCAAAAAAAAAGGAGAGCAAGAAAATCTTGGCGCCAAGTTAGCAAGTACGAAAATGGAAATCTTACCATTTAGAAATAATAACTCTGTTATACATAATCGGAAATGGAATAGATAAACATTTTCGATTTAGTATAAAATGTTCTGTTGAAGTGCTTTTTTACAAATTTATTATTATTATTTTTTTTTCTTTGGAAGGGAAATTCAAAGAACATTATTTAACAGTAGATATGCCGGTTATATTAGAATCTAGAGCTATTGAAGGTCAAGACGTGGTCGATAGGTTAGAGCCTACAAAAGAGCAAAGAATTACACTTATAATAATTGGAGTATATGCCTTAGCTATATTAATTCTATGGCACTTACCTTTTTTAAAAGTTATTTTGTATCCATTCAAGGTTTAAATTATAGCCCATTTTGTAATTAAATAATTTATTATTATAGTTATTTATTTTAATTCATTTATTCTTTAATAGTTATTGACAGTCGGTTTACATGAATTTTCTCATGCTGCAGCAGGATGTTGTACAGGAGCAAAAATTGAAGCGATTGAAATTGATCCCGATGAAGGTGGCGTGACGAGAATGGTATGCAGCTAATTTTGGTAATATTTTTAGATTAAATTCGACTTATGCGCTAATGTTATATTGTTATATTAGAGAGGTGGAATACCATGTTGGACTTTACCAGCTGGTATGTTAAACGTGAAGAAATTCCAAAAAAAATTTAATTAAAAATTGCTCTTTAAAATTACAGATTAAAGATTTTTTATAATCGTAAATATTTACTTGTTATTTGTAGGGTACCTTGGATCATCTTTTATAGGAGCATTATTGATATTTTGTGGATTTAATGTCATGGCATCTAAAGTTGCATCAGTTATTCTTGGTGTATTATTACTCATTCTTTTATTTTGGGCAAAGAATTGGTTAACAAGAGGACTAACTGTATTTTTTGCTTGTGTTATTGTGGGATTATGGTTTATTGAAAAGGGTGCAGGATTAAAATATTTTGTGTTATTTGTTGGGTAAGTTTGATTATACAGTAATTATACCTTCCGTTTTTAGAAAATATATTAATGATTTTTATCTTTTTAGTGTAATGTCCTGTCTTTACTCTGTATGGGATATTATGGATGATTTAGGTAAATTAAAGTTAAATTATGAAATTTCAATTAAAACTTTCTTAGGATTGACTTAAAAAGAATTCAATATTAAAAATTTAAATGATCATTTTTAGTATTCCGCAAAGTCAATGAATCGGATGCTAGTAAATTTGCTAAATTATGCAGATGTTGTCCTGCTCAAGTGTGGGGAGTTATATGGTTATTTATTAGTATATTATTTTTAGGAGTTGGAGTTTTGGCTGGATTAATTGCCTTTAAGCAAAAAGACCCCGAATAGAAATCAATTATTTTATTTATTTATTTTGAATATAGTTATCCCTATACGGTAATGGTACGGGTATGGTAAATTTGGCCAATTATTTATTTATAATTTAAAAATAATTTTATTCTTTAAAAGGTAATCGCGAAATTTGTTATAAATTATTCAACTGATAACTAATAAATATAATATAAATCCGAGATAAAAATCAAGAGTGTACTAACCAAAAATCGTAAGTGGTTCTGATCGGATCCATGAAGCCAGGGATCGACAGAAACTTCGAGATTTACAACCTATCAGTTATTTTTTATATTTGTATTAAAAGCATTGTTTCTTTTCATAGTAGGATATTTAAATTTATTTAGTGAGAAACGAATATTATTAATTATTAGTGATTAAATAGAAAATATGATAAATAATAATAATAATAATAAAATTATAACGAAAGTCCCCCACTTTTAAACTACATATAAATATAAATTTTCTGTTACAAACGCGAAAAAAAAAAGGTTATGTTTTTTTTTCTTTAATTTTAACAGCTTCAACAATTGCTAACGTGCTCTTTAGCATTTCATTAATATTATTAAAGCAAGGAATTTTTGGCATAGATTCTACTGTTTCACAAGAATCTTTCATGTCTTCTATAGTAATTTCAACCTCTTTGGTTAAACCAATCAATCCTTTCTGATTATAAGAAATAAATAATAGATCAATAATAATAATAAAAGGTGGATATTAAATTTAATTATTACGAAAGAAGTTTAACCTTTTCGTCCACAATTTGTGGTACTCTTTTGCGAATATGTTCACTCATATGAAACAATCCGAGAGAAGAATCATTATATAATTGACGAATAAATGTTTCCAAGTCTACACAAGCTGTTTATAAATAATTTAATAAGTGCAAATTTTATATGAACCAGTATATAAACTACCTTTTTTGACTTTTTCCTTCAAATTTGCACCTTGAACAACTGGATCCGGTGAATAAATACTACTACTGCTGGCCATACCGAGCCAATTTAAACTTGAAGATTTTCTAGAATTAATAAAATATTGATCGATAGTAGTTATAGAACCAAAAGACGAAGGTGCCCAATTGCTAACTACAGAAGTGGTGGAAGGTAATTGGTCTTTGAGTATTGATGAGAATGATGCGAATGAAGTAGAATAATCATATTGTATAGGAATTGAGACAGTATTTGTTTTAGAGGCTGAAAATTCTTGTTCATAAGATTCATTTGGCGAAATATTATCATTGATATCCGACATTTATGAAAAAGATTATCAAATTCGTAACAGGTAAACAAACATTCATGCATTTATTTGATCCGATTTGAATTACTGCGTCAAACAATTTTTTTTTCAAAAAAAAAAAAAAATGGATTTTGAAGGAGAACCTATAAAACTAACCATAAATTCAGAATATGCTAAAAAGTATGAGTTGAGAAAAAAAGATGAAGAACTTTCAAAACGTAAGTGAGATTTATAATTTACTATCCTTGTCCTTGTAACTATATTTAATTGTAGTTTGAACTGACCACTATAGAAATTCGGTATTCAACATGTTAAATAGTCAAAGAAAAGTTTGGTGATATGAGCGATGTAGATACTGATAGTTCCTCAACTTCTGAAGAAGAGGACGAATTCGGTGAATTAGTTACTCCTGAAGTAGACGCACAAATAATGAAAACGATTGTCGCGATAAAGTCAAAAGATCCTAAAGTTTACGATTCTCAGTCAAATTTCTTTGCAGGTAGAATAATTTTTTTTTCATGTTGGGATTAATCTTGATTCCTGTTATTGGTACATTTGAAAAAAAATTTTATTTACATAGACGAGGAGATACAAAAAGCGCATCATCAATGGTTGGATAAACAACAAAAGAAAAAGGTTAACAAACTATTTATATAGGTATTTATTTTATCGAATTTAGCCCTAATTCGTTTTGCACTATTATTATAGTCAGAGGCAAAACCTATGCATTTAAAAGATTATCATCGTAAAATATTGTTGGAAAATGGTGGTATATTAGGAGATCAAGATACTTCTAAAGTCAATAATAAAAATATTGGACTAACACCCGTACAAGAAGAGCAAAAGTTAAGAGAAGAATTTAAAATTGCTGCCTCTCAATTCAATTTCCATGATGATGATGATGATGATGACTTTCTGATTCAACGGCCAAAAACAGCTGAAGAAATAAAAGCAGAAGAGGAAGATTATCAAAATTTCTTATTAGAAAATATGGCAGATACAAAGGATGCAGAAATTCTTAAACAATGGCAGAACTATAAGAACGACCCAAACATAAATGAGGACGAAGCATTTTTAATGGAGTAAGTTAAATAAAAGTCATTTGATTTTAATTTTACGTATTAAACCTTTTATTTTACTTGTAGTTTTATCCTTAAACGAGGTTGGATTGATAAGGAGTCTGATAAAGTCCCGTCATATGATGAACTTATTGCAGAACACCACGATGATGAAAATGAGAAATTTGAAGAGGCCGTCGATCAATTCGAGAGCAAGTATAATTTCCGTTTTGAAGAAGAGTAAGTGATTAAAATGTATTAATATTGAATATTAAATATCAAATGTGCTTGTTTTTTAAATTAATTTTTCTAAAAATATTTTTTTGTAGGGGAAGTACTAAAGTAGTTACATATGCTCGTAACCTTGAAGGATCGATGCGAAGGTTCGTAATTATTATTGCCCCCAATCTTAATAAATGCTCAACATATTTATATTATAATTAATCTTTTCTATCCAATTAAAGAACTGATAATAAACGTAAACTTCAACGTCAAGCGCGTTCTGAAAGAAAAGAGGAGGAGAAAAAGCGTAAAATAGAAGGATTAAAGAGACTTAAAAATCTCAAGAAAAAAGAGATTTTTGAAAAATTACAGAAAATTAAAGAGATAACAGGCAATGATAGTAGGCATTATACTTTATATAGAATTAATTTTAATATTATTATTACTTTTTATTTAAAATCTTAAATATCTCATTTAGCTGTTGGTTTCGACGACGTTGACCTTGAAGAGGATTTCGATCCTGATAAATATGACAAGAAAATGAATAAAGTTTTTGATGATAATTATTATGCAAGAGAGGTAAATTTATTATACTAATATTTTGTGACATAATCAATTTATTCAGTTTGTTAGTTTATATATTTATTATATTTTTTTTAAAAAATAAATTAAATTAAGGATGATAACGAAAAGCCAGATTGGAATGATGACATCAATATAGACGATATTGCATGTAACAACAGTCAAAATATTAATTCTAAAATAAATGCTTTTAAAGAATATAATGATGATCAAGAACTTGATAAAGGTGGTATTGGAGATGATGATTTTATAATGGATGCAGATTATTTACCCGGAGGAGAAAAATTTGATGAAACTAAATTCAAGAAAAGTAAGTTTACTTAAATTTTATCTATATTATTAGATTATTAGATAAAAAAATTAAAAAAAAATTGTATGTAGAGAGATCGGATAAAAGAAAAGAAGCAACCGAAGAAAAGAAGAAATCCAAGAAGAAATTTGATGAATATTTGGATGAATATTATCAATTAGATTATGAAGACATTGTAAGTAGTTATTTGCTCAACAATAAATAAATAATAAATAATAATAAATTATTAACAAAATAATTTTAATAATAGATTGGTGATACACCTGTAAGATTTAAGTACAGGCAAAATAAACCTGTTTCATTTGGTTTAACACCTGCTGAAATATTACTCGCGGATGAAAAAGATTTAAATGAATTTGTATCATTAAAAAAATTAGCACCGTAAGTTAACTCTATAATATTATAATTCTTTTATTATTAAACCAATACTCTCATAATTAATAACGAATTTATCATCTAGATATCGGCCCGAACATGTTATAGAGAATGATTTAAAAAAATATTCTAAAAAGAAAAGATTAAGACAATTTCGTAAAAAACTTGAACTTTCGGAAGAACAAAATCCACCAGAAAATAATTCCTGGAGTATAAAATCAATTAAACGTAAAATTAATGAACAAAAAGAAAGAGGAATAAAATCGGATGAAAAACAACGAAATAAAAATAAAAAAAGTAAAGATGCATGATATTCATATAAAAGGAATGGGTACGTACTCCAAAGATTATTTGTGAATTAAAAAATTATTTTTAATAAAGAACTATACAAGTATCATTTTTTTTATTCAATAAACGCATTATAATTAGAACTCGATCTTGTGGAACTTAGAAAAAAATTTATTACTTTTTTGAAGGAAACATAATATGATAAGTTTATTATTGCAAAATTCTCAAGGGCAAACGACCGATAAGTCACAAATCTTTGGAAAAAAAGAAATAATTAGAATGCTATTCATTCATAAAAATAAAAATAAAATACCCGTTGCATTTAGTCTTGCAAAGGATAATTATCAATAGGATATCATAATCACGTTGTTTGCAATTCGGACAAATACGTTACGCGTATTACGTTATAAATTACAATATAGATAGAACAGTTGTGAAAATACACTTTGTCGAATTTCGGCAGTATTATACCTGCGAAATATTTTGGATTCGGTCGTTTCGCCAATGTAAAATTCATTTTTAATTTAAAAATGTTATCAAAAATTTAATTAAATATCATTTATCAAATTATCTTAATAAACATAAACGTGACCACAAAAAATTTTTCTTTGCAATAATTGACGCGTATATACATGATTCTTTAAGCTCAACCCGCAAGCTTTAAATTGAGTATTCAAAATAATTGATTCTAAAACTTTATATTGATGTGAATATATGACTATAAAAAATCTTTAAAATGTATTTCATGTCATTATGAGATATAATCAACAACAAAAAAAACATATATAGTACCAAGTGAATACATACCAATTATGTAAACTTTGGACAAATCTACAATTTTGCTATGATCTCCTTGTCGAAAAGTGATTGGCCAGGTGCGAAGGAATATTGCTCTTCTGGAGCAAAAGAAGCGCCAATTCCTCCGACTAATTTTTTACGTTGGTCAAGAAGCGACTCAACTTCCGAAAGGGATGGCGTTGGCTTCTTGTTTTTCTTTGTCTTTGTAATTTTCGACTTATCCTTTTCGGGCTAATAAAATTTGAATATAAATTTATATTTTAATATGATTAAAAGAGAATGTGAGAAATACTCACGAATCTGGCCAAATAAGCTTCTTCGATTTGATTATCAAGGGTTTCCAAATATGATTGGTATTGTTGCCAACCTATTTGGGCTTTTACCCTTTCGATCAAAATCTGCTTACGATAATTGTTCCGTTTGCTTTGTTCGCGAAGCTTTGCTTGCAATTCACGCAATTTGATACTTATTTCATCATCTTCTCGTTCGTCCCATTGTATCTATAAATAACATCAGATTTTATATCACACGAAATAAATTTATACAAGACTTAACATTATTTAAATTAGTATTACTAACGTCATTTCCATCCATTAAGTCCAAAGCTTGGAGTTCTCTCTTGAGTCGATCGTCCATTTGGGATTTATCTCTATCCTGTTCAATCTCTCTTTCATGGAGCCCATTCTGGCCGTTTTGGCCATTTACCTGTGACTCATCAAGTTGATTTAGAAAAGTTGCAGCTTCTGGGTATTCAAGAAAGGCCGCTAGTAAACGATCGACTATGAAATTAGCAGATCGTTGTTTGTAGTCACCATCATGGGACTTTAGTGGTCCATCAATGTCCATGTGATCGACTCGGCGTGGCTCTAGTTCATCTGGTGTTTGAGGAAGAAGTTTACGTTCTTCTTCCGCCCAAACTTCACAGTAGCGCTTTCCAAGTTTCGGAATTTCATATGGCGTGATATCGTCTCCCTTTAATATATATATTTAAAAAAAAAAAAATCCTTATGAATATTATAGCATCTATAAAACAAATATCAAAAACTATTTACCTTTGTTTCTAAAAATTGTATATCTTCATCCTTGAAATCCCTAACATAAGGCTCAACATAGTCATAAAATGTTTTGATCGCCACTTGGTCCTTTGATTTGACAACAGGCGTATCTTCAATCGTCGCATTTGTAACTTCCGAAGTGCTACGCTTTCTCTTTTTAAAGGATCCTGCATTTCCTGACTTCTATAAAAGAGATTTGAACATTAGAATATTATTAACATTACTGTAGAAAAATTAACAATTAATAAATTACAAAATAACAACCGAAGTTTTATTTTGAACAACACGATTTGGTGTTGAAGTTCGTGATCCTTTCACTATTCCTTCGAAATCTGAAGAATCGCACTCATCATCACTCGGTGCGCTTCTTTTTAATATCTTTTTCTTCCTGTGAGTACCACTGTGATTTTAAAACATCGGGTTAAATAAGGATCACAAAAATAAGTTATCTCACATAATACAAAATATCACTTACGAGCTGGTCTTTAAAGATTCTTTTCTTTGAGGTGGAAAATAATCATTATCTGTATGGTTTATTTATCAAAATTCGAATTGTCATCAAATCACAACTTATTATATATAAGGTTTTGAACAATTAAACATATAATTAATAAATTTACCTGAATCTTCGACCTTTATTTTCATACTAGCTCCTTTTTTCTTGGATCCTTTCTCTTTGGCATTTTTATGAACATTCGGACTTCCTATTCGATGGTGTACATATGGACTTCCTACTCGATGATTAGCGGGACTTGAACTTCTTTTTACAATTTTTAAACCGCCATGAATCACACTTCCACCAAAACCACTTGTACTACTTGTAGCATTATTACGTTCAGTGTTCGCTGCATCTAAAATTTCTAAACATTTTTCAAAATCTTCTTTTCTGCTTGTTGCGGCTTTTCCTATAGCTTTTAATTCTCTTTTAACACTCTATAAATCAGATTTATCAACTATAGTATTAGTAGAAATTCCAAAATATACATTGAAAAAGACGAAAAAGAGGAATAATTTGATACCAATTGGTCTTTATGAAATATTTTTTTTAGACCTCGTTTTTTAATTTGGCTGATAGTGGGAAATTTGTTTGGATCGATAATCATGGTTTATATTATGAGGTTGTGGATCCGATCGTTGGAGGAAAAAAAAAAATGAAAAAATAAAAAAAAAAAACTTGATCCAGAAATTCAATTGAAAATATCACTAAAAATATCGAAAGAAAATTATCAAAGACGAACAATCTCAAATTTTGTAGTGTGGTTTTAAGATTTCAACCAATCATTGACGATTATTCCCACTGCCCAAGTATGGTCATAAAAATTCTATTGACGTTTATGTCACGCATCTATCATCATATGGGTGAACAAAAAAAAATTTTTTTTAAATCAGATGATCAATTTTCATAATTTTGTAATACAGAAATTAGTATAAATTCTCTCGAATAATTTCATCCATATCCAATACCAAAAAAAAAAAAAAAAAAAAAATGGGCTTGAAAAATAGATTTGGAAATATATTATATACAAGTTCAATAATGTTTCTCATGCTTTTGACTATTGTAGCTATTGGTATATCAGCATTCGATATTATTATTCAGGCTTTATACTACCCTGAGAAGGAGAATATGACTGTTATTATTGCGGGAGGCAGTTACTTTTTAATGGTAAGGGGGTTTATTTTTCTTTCACTCTAGAGGGTTTTGTTTATTTCCATTCAAATATCACTTTTGATAGGGTTTTATAGCAGTAATTTTGGGTTTTAGTCGTTTATTTACTGTAAAACGAGCTTTAAATGATATACCAAAGTCTCAAGTGCCAATAAGCGAAAAAGATATACCAAAGGTATGTTCGGTTATACAGTATATTATTAACGTTAAAAATATATTAAAATTTCTTGAATTCATTTTTCTCTAGTTTGTGCATAATCTTATTGTTTCAGAGCTAACTCGCGTTTCCAGGATTGCTTTGGCAGGTGAACCAAGACCTGAAGATGGAGGACGACCAGGATGGGGAAGACCAGGTACTATGTATTATGTCTTTTTTTATAGGGATATCTAATTATACTACATTCAAAAATTTAATCGCTTGAATATTATTTATCAAGGTTCATCATACCATAATATACACTTCAGATCTTCAATCATTGAAACGCTCTCTTTAATAGGTAAAATAAATTTGCAATCGTTTCCTTGTTTTGATTTTAAGATTGATCTATTATTAAAATACGATTTAAATTATTGAAAAGAGCAACAGGCTGTAAGATCTTCGGAAAACTTTGCACGTCAGCCATCAATGTCCGTTCAGCGATATATTGACTTTTTGATAGAACATAAAAAAATAGATCGTGAATTAGGACATGCATATGTTGAAGGCTATGAACGAGCGCGTTTCAGTGATGATGAGGTCCCTGAAGAACAATACATCAAATTTATGAAGCTCGTTTTGCAGTTGTTACGTCAATTTGGTTTCAATGGAAATTAACTTTTTTAATATTCCTTAAATTTCATCATTTAGTCTTTTTCTTTCCTTTTCATTATCTTTCTTTATTTAATGATCTTATTTGCTATATATTTTGTTTGACCCGAACGAAAAGCTCGTGTAAGGGGAAAACATACGGACAACGGATTTATTCCGATGTCACTTTAACCCTTGGGAAGGTCTGAGAAAAACTATAAAAGTCTCTAGCTGGGATACTCGTGAGAATGAGTGCGAATAACCAGAAACGGTACACTCCTTGGTTTGTTAATATGAAGTCTTTATGATGGATTGTTTTCCTATCAATGGAGTGTTGGAACGCGATTCGCTAGTGGAAGTTCTATGAAGTGCGATACACGAGACATCACAATGTGATGTAACTCAATTCAGACTACTCTTTCGTTCGGGTCACGTGATATGTATATTTCCCTAAATTTCATATTCTTTTCAAATTTTCTTGATCAATTTCTATTTAGACAAATCTCTTTTATAAACATCATAAACTTCTTCCTTTTGATTGACCTGAACGGAAAGCTCGCGTTAGGGGTAAACATACGGACAATGGAATTTATTCCATTGGTCATTTTTTAATAACCCTTGGGAAGGTCTGAGAAAAACTAACAAAAGTCTTTAGCTGGGACACTCATGAGAGTGGGTCATGAATAACCAGAAATAGTATCCTCTTTGATTCAGAATATGATGTCTTTTTTGACAGATTCGATTGAATTAATAGTAGGAGTTAAACACGATTCATTAGTGGAAGTTCTATGAAGTGCGATACGTGAGACATTACAATTGTGATGTAACTCAATTCAGACTACTCTTCCGTTCGGGTCAGCCTTTTTATTTTATTTTTTTTTTTTAATTTCAATTCATTTATCTGGAAAAAAAAAAAAATGATGACTTAATTACAAATTTTTTAAATTTTAATTATTCTGATTTTTTTTTTTCATTTTATGTATTCAGTTTTTAAAAAAATTTCCCGAAGAAAAAAATAGATTTATTTTAAATTATATAATTTCGAATTTACGTTTGTAATAATAATACATGAGGAGAAAATAAAAATAAAAAAAAATAATTAATATATTTCTACAAAAAAAGTTTCTTCTAAACAAGGAAGAATTATTCCCAGAATAAATAAGTAAATAAATATAAAATTTCATTTGAAAATAATAAATAAAATGTGTGTATATATTATATATATATATATTTCCATGAATTAATTATTATTGTTATTATTATTATTATTATTATCTTGAGCTTGTGCCAACCGTGCTTCCAAATTTCTTAAGGCTTCTTCTTTGGCCAAGAGTTCTTGTCTCTTTTCAGTAATTTCACGTTGAACTTTCAATTCAATTTCTCTCAACTAAAAAAAAAAATAAAAGTCAATTGAAATTGATACTTTAAAAATATATTTTCTTTAAAAAAAGAAATCGTTTGAAGTTTTTACCTTCTCTTCTTCACGTTTCAATTGTTCTTCCTTCAATCGTACACTTTGAGTAGCATGATCTTCTGGTAAGATACTGGAGTCCCTAAAAAAATAGAAACAAAATTTTAAGTTAATTGAATTCAACGATCGTAATTTATTTATTATGATTATTATTATTTTTAAAGAAAGTACTTACTCGACAGGAACATCAGCGCTTCTGCTAAGTTTCTCAGTACGGTAGTTTTCATACAAGAAGTCATGAGTAATCTCTTTTAAGTCTTGCAAATGAGAGCTAATAACAATAATAAAATATAAAAAAGAAGAAAATTGGGTTAAATTTTCAAACACGTTGATATATATTTAATTACATGAACATAAATTTGTTACCTTAATAGAGCTGATCGCAATCTTGCAAAATCCGAATGTTGCGGGTTATCAACTATCATAAAGGATTTTTAAATGTTATATAATTAAGAGTATAATATCGATTTGAAACAAATAATTAAAAATTAAACATACCTTCAACGACACCCCACGGGTACTGACGACCGCGTACATTTCTTCCGTTTACCATAATTTCTTCCTCACTGCCAATGATGGCAAAGGGCAAAAGTGCCTAAAAATTATTTAATAATTTAGTAAATAATGACCCTCATGTATAAATTAACGATTAAACCTAAGATTCTACGCACTCGTAATTCACTATTTTCTTCAACAGTTTCTTCGTCATCTTCTTCTACATCGAATGGGAAATTATAAATTGGGATGTTATGATGTTCAATATCCTCCATTATCTGAAAATTGATATTAAAGTCAATATGACGCGAAAAGGAACACGAAATTCATTTTATTTTAATTCGATACACACTCTCTTTTTGAATTGAACCAATTCTGTCGGTGTACAAGTATCAGCCTTTCCAATGACAGGAATCACATTGACACGCGGACTTAGTCGCTTCATCAATTCAATGTCAATCTCACGAAGGCTAAATTGATGATATATCATTATAATTTAATCAAATCAATATTATTTTTTTTAAAAAAAAAGAAATTCCATCCATAATTAATGTACGTACGAATGACCTGTTGGGGTGATGAAGTAAAGAAGGGAGTGAACACGATTGTCTCTGAATCTTGGATTACGTTTAATACGGGATTCTTCAGCCAAGATATCATCATATTGCCTTTCAAGATATCCCATAATTTCTTGAAAACTTTAATGAGAATTAAATTTTAAAATCTTTTTACGTGACATTTTTAATACAACGAAAAAGAAACATACCAAAATTCATTGTCAATATTATCTCCAAATCCGGGAGTATCTACAATTGTTAGGGCAATCCTAACTCCATCTTCTTCCAACTCTAAACAAATAAAAAAATTTATAATAATACGAATTTGAAACTTTAAAATATAATAAATATCTTACCAACTGTGACAGGTTTAATGCGAATGCCTTCTTCTATATGTGCAGTATCCGGGTTATCGCATAATTTTTTGGATAAAACTTCACTGCCACAAAGAGTGTTGACAAAAGTAGTGCGGCCGGTACCTGATGCGCCTATTTTCAAAAGTTTTTATATGTATATATAAGGGTAATATACGTTATTGTAATAACGAATACATATATTATTTAGACAAAATCACAAAATTCAAAACAATTAGGTACTGATAGGTTGTCATCTGCCCAAGTTGCAGTCATGCAGAAGGGTCAAAAAAAGGGGGGGAGGTTGCTTTATGCAAGGAGAAAACTGTTGTGGAAGGTAAAAATTCGAACTTACCGACAACCATAAGAGTGAATTGAAATCCTTTTTTAACATTCTTTCTACGGCCTCCCATTCTCTATTAAAAGATAAAGAATTATAACCATTAATTAAAGAAAAAATTAAATAAAATTCGAAAGAGTGTTTTAGGAAGACTCACAAGTGCCATGATTAACAATTAAAATAGTATAATGAATAGGTGGTTGAAAGTATTTATTGAAGAGAACAGGCCTCAAAAAAAAGGAATGAAAGCGTTTTACGATGCGTATTACGCTAAGGAACGACCCAGTTCACTGAATTATGTATTTGAAAGAATTTGGTTGGCAATGTATCAAACGAAAAGCAGCAAAAAAAGCAATCTCGACATACCGCATAAAAAAAATATATGTATAATTTTGTTTATAGAACACAGCAACTAAGATTGAACCTATCAAACGATCCCGATCATCCTAGCATGAACACAAACCAAAAATGTATGGCAATATATTAAATAATTTATTTTATATAAAAAAAATGTTCAAAAATATATATATATATATATATATAATTGCTAATATACAAACGTTTTCAATTATTGCAAACCTTTAATAAATAAATAATGTATACCAAGAAAAATAAAAAAAAATAATAATTTATATTGTTTTATCAAGATCCCAATTTCCAAATACTAATTTTGGTTTATCCCATTCGCGAACCGATTCATAAACTATAGACTTGTGATTGTTATCATCATTTTTCCGACGTATTTTTATATTAGTCTCAACATTGTCTTCATTTGAACTAGAAGACATTTCATTGTCAGAACCTCGTCTTCGCTTTTTCTTGGATTTACTAGACTTATGCTTTTTCTTTTTATGTTTATGTTTAGCTTTCTCCTTATGTTTTTTCTTCTTTTTCTTATTATCCTCAACAGATTTTTCAGATTTCTCGGATTTTTCAGCAAACATTTGTTCAAATCTTTGATAATTATACCAATTAGTTTCTCCAATAAATGGTTCAATATCAAACATCGGATCATAATCCTTTCTAAAATATTTATCCATTTTTGACCCATTACTAACTTCTCCACGTCCTTTTTTTCTAACAACGTTTGTTTCTGATGTGGGTTTATTCTTCGGCGAATCTGTTGATAGTTCTTCTCGTGATGTGACAAACCTTGAATTAAAACCATCTTTATCTAATACAGATGATTTCTTATGAAAGTATGAGGAGGAAGAGGACGAAACTGGACTAACGGAACGTCGACTTGATTTTTTTCTCGAAGACGATGATTTTCTATTATCATAACTTGGGCTTCGGGAGGAATATCTCCTGCTACGACTTATCTTTCGACCTCTTTCGCTAATTCACACATGTAATATTATCATTAATGACAATACAAATAAATAAATAGAAATATAGAAAGAAAAAGAAAAATATTTATTATACGTATTAATTCGTTACCTGGATGATGAATCCGAGTCAGAATCAATCTCATCATCGCTATAATATCGATCGTGATCTCTAGATAACTTACTAGTTTTAGAATCTCTACTATAAGAATCGCGTTGACGTGATGAAACTTTTCGTCTTAAAGCAATCCTACGAGCGGCAGCTTCTTCTTCTATCTTCCTAAGTAAAGCCTGATTATGATGATCCACATTTTTCACCACATTAATTAAAAACCTTTTATTAGTCTTTGGGAGGTTACATGGTGGACTGTTATGAACAATATGTGTATAAAAGTTAACATTACACCTTATTAAAACAGAGTTGAGGCAAGCTCGCAAATACTTACGTCCCGGTATGTGGCAAATATGCTCTAATACCTTCTTTATTATACATTTTATTCTTTGCAGATGCTTCTTTTAAAACCAAGTCAGCAATATACTTGTCTAAATCCTCATCGGGAAGTGTAGAAGGTACGTTACCACCTACTGAAGCTCGGACAAGCTGATTAACTGCAACGTCTAACGCAGATTTTTGTTCAGGTAATTTTCTTTTTGGAGGAGTTTGTGACATCGCTCTCAAAAAACAAAATGTAAAATAGGTGGATAGTGTTTGTTGGATTTTATTGATTTTATTGGTCACCAAAGGTGTTATTAGTAAATAAACCTATTATAGTCATTTTACATTGAAAATTTTATAATTTATTTCGATACACGATTTCTTTTTTTCTTTTAAAAAAAAATTTTTTATTTGTTTTTCCAAAAAAAAATACGCAACAGGACAAAAAAAAAAACTATTTACAATAAGCAACTTTAAAATTACCAACTTAAAAAAAAAAAAAAAAGCAATGAAATGAAAATTTTATATACAAGAAGAGTCGGACTACAAAATTTTCAAATCAACCCTCATAAAATATATATATATATATATATATTGAAATTATTTTAACGTAAATGAATGCAAAACACTATTTTATGTAAATCACTTTCAACGAAGGATCCAATAAAAATAATAATCATAAATTCAAAAAAAAAATATAAAAATAAAAATAAAAAGGTCGAGAAAATAAAAATTAAAAATAAAATTAAAAATGGAAAAAATAAACTGACAGACATCTATATCGTGCTGCCAGTAAATTATAACAGAAAAGGTATCTCACACCAGATCCTGCTCAAGATCAAGGGAAAAAAGGATCGAAATCGAGTTCAAAATATAAAATCAAACAGATTATAAGTTCAAGGTTGCAATGCTACGAGACCATTTACATAAAAATCACGCCATCCAACCACCATATATTGTGAAAGAAAGTTGGAAGAACTATATTTTTTTTTTTTTTTCTTTTTTCTTTTTTTTTATTCTACGAATATATTGTATATATAGTATTATTTTGTTAAAAGAGAGAAAAAAAGTAAATATTATATATATTTATGTGTGTAATTTTTTTTTTTGTTTGTTTGGTGAGATAAAAAAAGGAAACATACTATTAAAATTAAACTATCTATTACCACAAAAGCGACTGACCAATCGCACACTTGTAGTATTATACCAACATCGAAAGTATTAAGCAGCAGTTAAAAAGGTAGGTTCATAAGTCATAAACAGCATTAAACAGCAGAAACAGCAAATAATTATAATATATTGAGATAAAATTTTTAAATGATTGGTTTTTCGTTCAAGATTAACGGGTCATTTGACCATCAGAAGAAGCAGAAGGTGAAAGAGGTGGAAGGGTCACATTTTGCATGTATGATTTTTGACCAATTCCGGCATTAACAGGAGGAGAAGGTAATCCAACATTATAAAGAGCACAGCCTTTATTATTTTCTGGTGCTGATCCATAATTCATCGAAGGAAGTAAATTGCTATTGCCACTCTCTACGTTAACTGCACGAGTCGCAGCATTAGAAGCCATAGCTTGATCCAAACCGACCAAAATAGCGGTGGTTCTGTTGAGCAACATGCTTAGGTGGGAAACTTCACGTTGTAACTCTTGACGATGAGCTTGCAAGACCTGTTGGGTTATACTTGGATCAGCGACCGCGGCAGTCGGTAAAGGTTGATGGGATGGAACGTTGTTTGAAAAGCTCGAATGAGATGAAATGGTTGAAGGCGCACTTTGTGCCACCATACTACCAACTGAACTAATAATTGGAGGCAATTGTGTAGGTCCGGTTGGGGAACTAGGATTCAACAAGGAAGAAATAGAACCCGAAGAACCTTGAGGTGAAACATTATTGTTTTCATTATATTGACCGGAGAAAACGGAAGGTAAAGGAACGCTTGGAGTTCCCATAAGACGACTATTAAATGCTCCAGTATTATTATTTTGATGAATGTGAACTTGAGGCAAGCCAGAATTTAAAGTGGGTTCAACAGGTGACAAACTACGTCTACGTTCATCATAAGATTCTTGACCAGGATTATTCCACATCCCTTCATTATTATGAGAATTGCGTTTGATATAATCTTCAATGAGAGGGACTTGCCTAGCGTTTCCGCAACGACGTTTATTAGTAACGATGGATTCATCAGCTTTTCTTTTGCGTCCGACATTTAAATCTTCGATCGAGCAAATGTCATCATCGGATGAAACGTATCCACGTTCAGAACCAGAGGTTGAGGGTGGAGTAGGAGGATTATGAACTCGACCTTTCCTAGATTGATGTTCATTATCGGATCCTCCAGATTGATGATGAGTTTGAGGTGGTGGAGTTGTAGCCAAAGCAACACGTTTACGACGCTTGATCACCGACCTTTTCATGGTTACGGGACGGTGAACATTGTGCAACTTAAAGTAAAGACCTGGAAGAAAGAAAATAAGGTAAGCAACTTATTCCACGGTAACACAACATCAACGAGATTCCGTCTACTTACCACAAGCGTTGCATATCGTGTTACCAGCTTCATCTCGACGCCACAAAGGGGTTGTATTAGTTCCACAATTCGCGCATATCAAGGCTTGGCGATTCACTTGATGTTGATTGTAGGCCGGACAACCATCACAAGAACTTGATCCGCCGGTACCATCACAATGACCATCACCTGGACAAGTTCCGCAGTTATTACTTTCGGGAGTTTCAGGAATAGATGGTGTAGCTTTTTTAATAGCATTACGTTTTAACCATGGCGGACGAACTGCGTTACGAGCCTTGAGGTAAAGTCCTAAATAAGATGATACAAACAAATTAATTAATTTCATTGTCTGTGTCTCAAAAAGTATTAACGTTTCACAAAATTTGTCGTCGGACAAAGATGAATTTTTGGTCACTTACCACAAGCATTGCAAATCGTCTCTCCAGTTGGAGCTCTCCTCCACAAAGGTGTCGTGGTAGTTCCGCAGTTTGCACATACTGTAGCGGACACACCATGACCTTCCGTCTTACAAGAACGAGATTGAATAGATCCAGAAGAACCTTTTCTATTATTGGACAAGTGTTGAATAGGTTGCTGTTGTAACATTTGCTGCTGTTGCTGTTGTTGATTGAATTGCTGTTGTTGTTGTTGGACGACGTTTCGCCGATGATGGCTATCAGAAGTCTGTTGTTGCTGAGAATTGGAAAGCATACTTGCAGCGGAATGTTCCATAATTCTTGGAAGGGTAAAATGGAAGGGTAAAGAATAGGTATGTCTTGGTTTGAATTTTTTTTGTTTTTACTTTTCGAAAGTTATTGCTTGAGTGCTGTTCTGTTTTTTAAAAAAATTGTACTGCGGCAAAAGAGATTTTGAGAGAGAATTTTGAGGGGTTGATTCGAAGGTTGTGGTTTTTTTTATAGCGCGAAACGGAATGTGTGATACTTCCGTGGAAGTAAAGTAAGTAACAAAAGTTGACGTTGTTTTGTTGTAGCGCGACTTTCTAAAAGTAAGTTTGAAGGGTGATTGCGTTTTTAGTTGGGCTTTCGATGTGGTATAAAGCAAGTGTACGGTCAGTTGTTGCAGGTCTGGAATATTTAGTTAGGGCAGTCCAGTTATGCATGGAAATTGAAAAAATAACCGCTAAAAAAATTTAGCGAAAGGACTTTTTGTTTTTTTATTAAATTAAAAAAAAACAAATACAATAAATATAGGATATTTAATTAATTAAAGAGGAAAAAAATATTTTTTTTTTTCGAATTTGTTTCAAAGTTAAATAATAATTGTAATAATAAGAAAGGATATAAAAAAAAAAAAAGTAAAAGGTACGTAATGTGAGAAGGTCTTTTGACAACTTTTTTAATGCAGAGAAAATCAAAGAAATTATTATGATATGAGTATTAAAAAAAATGTTAAAGGAACCAGATATTTATATAAAAAAAAGAGGGAAAATATGATTATAATTAAGGGCGTTTTTGTTCTGTAAAAAAAAAAAAATTTTGTGTAATAAATAGATTAGAGATAATGATAAATATACAATACTATTATAAAAAATTTTAGATAGTGATGAATTTTTGATGATGAACAAGATAGAAAAAAACTAGTTTTTTTTTGCATTAAAAAGTCGGGGCAAATCCCCTATTTTGTTTACAACAATTCTGTATATAGATAAGATATCTTTATTTATAATAACATATCAATTGATAAGAATTGTCATATCAGTAAAAAAAAAAAAAAAAAAAAAAAAAAGAGAAAAAATGGTAAAATATAAAAGAAATATCTAAATAATGATGTTGTGTAATATCGTCCAATGAAAAAAAACATTTTAGGAGTAGATTAAAGTGTGGCCTGTAAGGTTAAAGCATATATAAGGAGACATTTTGACAGGAGAAAAAGCCAAAAATAAGTTTTTTTTAAGATAGTTTTTTTTTTAAATTATAAATTTTTTTTTTCGTTTTGATTAAAGTTTGAAAAACGAGTAGACTGCGCGAGTAGTGATAGACATTAGAAATACATGAGATAAAGAATATAAAGAATTATAAGATGGTATCTTTAGTATAAAGAAGGAATGTGACACAAGATAATGTACATTTTGTTTTAACAAATAACACATCATTATTTATTTATTATAATTATTATTATAAACTTGATCGAAAATTTAAAAAAAAATTTTTTTGCTTCGATAGCATTCGATTATAAATTACTACGGCGGTAATCGTATCAATTCAAAGATCTAAAAAGTAAATAAACCTTTTTGATAAAACACAGGGGTTCAATGTTTGCTTTTCACGAGAACCTTTTGTTTTTGAAGACAAGGCCTTTTGATTGTTTTCTTGCAATTCACACGATAAGTAATCAGATTAAATTTTATTTTTTTTGGATTTGGTTTACCTTTGTTGTACAATAAAAAAAACACTTTACCATTACACAAATGAACAAGCGTTTCCTTTTCTTACTATTGTTTGATGACGAATTAAAAGAATTGAAAGACATATATATTCGTACATAGATATATGTACATATATATACATATATAAAACGCCATCTTTCCAAATAATAATGAAATATTTTCTTTCGTTGGGGAGGAATTCGTAATGTTGAGATAAAAATAAATTTTTTCGACATACAATAGATGATTGAATCGGAAAAGAAGGAAAGTCGGTTTGGAATGAGCCTCAGTAATCATGTGCCCATATCCAGATGATTGATAATCGATAAAGATGTCATAGTAATAGTGCTGCGGGGAAATGATTCACCTTTGAGGCTTAGTCATTTCAAGGGATAAAAAACCTCGCGTCTCGCGTTTTCCATAATAGTTTTTAAATGCGAGATAATGCAATGTTCATATGATTATAGATAGTCTGTGATTTATTATATGTCCCCATATATGGATTATCAACATTACGTAATTACATTAAGTAAGAATATTAAACTTGGACACATTTTTCTTTATGTAATAAAATGAAAGTTTCCTCTTGACCATTTTCTAATGGGTTGATATGCAAGAGAAGAATCTAACATGTAACTTACTCTTTATGATTCCTTCTTGGAATCTAAAAAAAATATATACCGTAGAACAACATTCTTTCTTGCTTTTCTTTTTTTTAAAAAAAAATTTATTATTTTTTTTTTATTATAGTAATGATTTAAAACAATAAAAATTCTTTATTGTATGGAGATGATTTAGAAAATCTCATATGAAAGACTAACTCGGATTGTTTGATGAGTATTCATAAATTTCCTGAAATCTACTACAAATAAATGTGATTATAAACCTTTGTCCAAAAAAGGATTATCTTTTTGTAACACAAAATTATTGACCACCAATTTGATAGAGATAACACAAATTTAATTAATCTGACGTTTTAACTCAGAGAAAATCGGTAAAAATATCGATATTTGGTGATTGATAATGTATTAAAAAATTGCAACTGCATATTGCATAATGCTTGTTATTACGATTTTACTTACCCCCCCACAATTTCAATATTTCCTTTTCATACATGTTTTGATCATCTGGATGATATTTTTTGTTCCTTTTTTTTTTTTCTTACGAAATATATATATATATATATTTGTTTGTTTATTATTCTGAGCAGTTGAAAAACTTAACTCTAATGTGTGAGGAAAATCTCTCTCATTTTTCTCACACCAAAAACCTTTAAGGTACCCCCTCGCATGTACATTATCTGCAATTTCTCGACAAGATATGGATCCTCGCTTGGTTAAAAGCCATGTACACAATATACCATTGATTTTCAAGTTTTTAATGTGGATTTAACAGTATACTATAAATTAAAACTATAGACTAGACATTTTTATTTTTTCATTTTTTACTTATTGCTAAAGTATAAATAGAAATTGCCACATTTTTGGGGTTCCCTCGTCCATTGACCAAAAAAGGTATATCAATCAGATCATATCTCATCACACACTGATTATCATTAGTTGATTGTAATTTTTAACCCATTTTAGCAGAAAATGATTCTTATCAAATCTATCGCGTGCTTTTTTAAAAAAGATCCCCACTGATCTCTCAATCAATCCCTAGATAACCTTTTTTATTAACTGTTTAATTAATGCTAATGATATGTTTACAAAGCTTTCATGTAATATTACAAAAAAAAAAAAAAAAAAAAATCACGTTCACGCGCTTTGAATCGCGAACTTCCCTTGTAGTGATACTATGATGTAATAACTTTCTTTGTCAAACACAAGGAACGAGAATTACATGCAAGGTTTGCGATTGTAGACAAATGAACTATATTAATACATAATTGTGTTTTATGCTAAAGCTTATCAATTCATGCAATATAATGTATATTTTCCTTATCTAACAGCACATTTCTTATCTCTGAATTTATGTTTAAATTTTGGTAAAGATATCAGAACTATCAGAGATTATTTACGAAAGTAAAAAGTTATTCAATTAAAGGTAAGGTTATGCCAAGAAAATGTCTTCCATTAATAGATTAAATCTTTTTACGTCATTCTTCAATGGCTTGATTGAATGTTACACTGCTTTATCAGTTCTTAACGTTACTTTTTTTGGTTACTAAATGTGTGGAGGTGCACTTGTTTGCGCGGGGATACGATCACGATACGTAAACATATGTAATGTGCAAGTTGGCGGAAAATTCTGGTAAAAAGATGCATACGGAATAATTCATTATATTCGGGTAAAACCTTTGGAAAAATTAAAAAAATTTTGATAACAAAGTCGAGATAAGATTTGTTGGGGTGGAATCTGCCGAAGCCTGTGAAAAAAAAATTATGCTTTCCCATAACAAGGGATCATTTGATAATCTAAACGGTAAATTTCTTCAATGTTTGATTACAATCATTTGTTTATCATGGAATTTCCGTGTATTACATGTTTTATAAGTTGATTAAGCCAATCAAATCAATTCGTTCATTCAAACATAAAGCATAATAAAGAATACGTAACGCGTAATACTCGTAATACTTAATTTGTTGTTCATTAAAAATCATCACCTTGCATTATCTCTTTCCATATAATGGTAGGGTCACTGCAACCAATTAAAAATTCTTCATATGAAATACCTAATTTTGGTTTATCTTTTCGATCAATACTCATAAACAAAGACGCAATTCGACGGAAGAACAATTAAATTTTTTCGTTATCATATCAGATCAGGATCATGCGGGAAGAAAGCGAGTAGCTTTTTAAAGAAAATCCCTTTTAAGAAACTCCCTTTTTGAGGGAATGATTAAGGTGGGGGTGGCGTTTATTCTTTATCCAATTTCTATTGTTTCTTTTTTTTTTTTTTAGATAAACATTCTTGTACGATATAATTCGGTAATTTCTTACCTTTTTGGAGATTATAATAAAATAGACTAAACTTAATTGTTTCGAGAATTTGGTTTTTTTTCCTGATCGACTTATTAATGGGTAATCTGATTGGTTGCTTTTTAATGATTTCTTTCGAATATTCATTTAAAAGATTCCTATTTTAGCAATTTCAGCTGATTAAATGATCAATGCAAAAAAAAAATTTTTCTAAAAGTGGCGTCCAACTACAATAATGATGACATAAGGTATGATTCTTATGCGACAACATCATTCGTTGGAATGTTCTATGTTCCACTTGTTTAGATATTTCTGTTAAGATTACTGGGATTAATCGGTAAAAATCTACGCGTTGGTTTTATTTTATTTTGAATCTTCGGTTATCAGAGATTGAATGAACAAAAATATGTCAATTATGTCAATT